AGCAGTCCTCCCCTCAACCCCCAACCCTCCGATAGCCGATAACCACATGCCTCTTGAGTCCGGCTATTCAGACGATGTAAAGAATATTGGTGAAGATATGGAGGAGTTACATGATATCTTTCAGATCTCCAAGAATATTCTCAGTGAATGGAGTCTCTTTGTCAATGACACAAAGACAAAGTTTACCAGAGTGTATTTAGAAGAAGTTGGTGCCTGCGACGAGTGGGATAATGAGTTAAGAGGAAAAGAGGAGTGGAGAAACGAGACGCTTCTTGGTACTAAGCTTGGATCAGAGCAGGATGTTACTAATAGAATAAATAAAGCTAACACCGCCTTCTGGTCATTTGACAAGCTGTGGTGCCAGGGATCAGAGAGGAGTCAGATAACTGAAAAGAGAAAGATCAAACTCTACGACTCACTAGTAGTATCAGTGCTCCTGTACAACTGCTGCTGCTGGGCCGTACCTCAGCATGTTCTAGAGTCTGTAGATGTTTTTCAGAGGAAGCACCTCAAGCGCATCCTACACATCTATTGGCCTAGCTCAATATCTAACAAGGCCCTCTACGCTCGTACCCAGACCAGGCCCCTTTCCGAGAGAGTGGAAAAGGCAAGGTGGACAATGCTAGGTCATGTTCTACGCAGTGACAACGACACGCCTGCCTACCAGTCTCTGTTATTTGCTACACTAGGATGTCAAACGCTAAAGGGACGAGTGGGTAGACATAGGACTAATTTGTATGATATTATTGTGAAAAAGGACCTATTTAAGAGACAAATTTATTTGAAAAACGAAGATGATTTTACCAACTTAGTGAACTTAGCAAGAGATAGAGTAGGATGGAGGAGTTTATTTACTTTGAGACATATTGAACGAATGAGTCTTCGTAAGCGTAAATAGGCCAGCACTTTGCTGAGCCTCTTTAGGTGCTCTTTTGTTTATAGATGTTATTATATATGTAAACATGTAAACGAACAATTTATGAATTTGTGAAAAGGTGAAATTGTGAAAATCAGTTCTTTACGTGTCAACTGTCATGTGATACAGTTTCTATGTGAAGCTGAAAAATATTATTTGTATTTTATAGCTGGACAAAGACCGTTGCTAATGACCGCTGCTAATGTTATGTATATGAGTATTAGTATGAGTATTAGTTATACTCTTATGTTACTATCTTGCTGTTCAAATATGTGTATTGCAATGAACATATATTTGTTCGACGATGTATCAAAACATTTAACATTCAGGCTTTCGGAGATGACAAAGATTGACATGACGGTAACAGCAACTCGGGACGATTTGTCACTGTTGTCAACGACTTCTCGGGCAGAAAAGCGGACGGACTTCGCAGATTCGCTCGCAAAGCGAGCAAAAAAAAGCGAAAGAAGTTTCCCGAAAGGAAACTAAATTATGGTTTCAGATCAGACTCTGATTTCGAGAATGATGTATGATTTTGTCGAATTTTATGAATTTAAATCTGATTTTTGTTTTATTTTATTGCATCATTTATTGCTTTATTAATTTTTTCTTTTTTACAAAACAATTAGTTGTTTTCATTTTAATACAGTATAATGAATGAAACCATCTCCTCTTGATTCCCTGTTCTACGTAACACTTATTATGAGTCTCCGATCGCTTAAAAGAGGAAAAATGTATCTGTTCATTGTTCAAGTAGGTCATTAAAATGGATTAGTTGCTTACCCAAATATTATATTCAGAAAAACAGCAAGCGAGCATTATTGGGATTGTTGTTAAAGCAACCTCAAACAAATTGATAGATTATTAATACACAAATGCTGTATGCTATTGAGAGTACACTTACAGCGAACCACGCTGATAGTATGCTATAATTTCAAATAATACTGGATATAGTGAACTGTATTTCCCAATAATACTGGAGATAAGTGTACTGTATTTTCAAATAATACTGGAGATAAGTGTACTGTATTTTCCAATAATACTAGAGATAAGTGTACTGTATTTTCCAATAATACTAGAGATAAGTGTACTGTATTTTCCAATAATACTGGAGATAAGTGTACTGTATTTTCCAATATTACTGGAGATAAGTGTACTGTATTTTCCAATATTACTGGAGATAAGTGTACTGTATTTTTCATTAATACTGGGGATAAGTGTACTGTATTTTCCATTAATACTGGAGATAAGTGTACTGTATTTTCCAATAATACTGGAGATAAGTAAACTGTATTTTCCAATAATACTGGGGATAAGTGTACTGTATTTTCCAATAATACTGGAGATAAATGTACTGTATTTTCCAATAATACTAGAGATAAGTGTACTGTATTTTCCAATAATACTGGAGATAAGTGTACTGTATTTTCCAATAATACTAGAGATAAGTGTACTGTATTTTCCAATAATACTAGAGATAAGTGTACTGTATTTTCCAATAATACTAGAGATAAGTGTACTGTATTTTCCAATAATACTAGAGATAGGTGTACTGTATTTTCCAATAATACTAGAGATTAGCGTACTGTATTTTCCAATAATACCGGAGATAAGTGTACTGTATTTTCCAATAATACTGGAGATAAGTGTACTGTATTTTCCAATATTACTGGAGATAAGTGTACTGTATTTTCCAATAATACTGGAGATAAGTAAACTGTATTTTCCAATAATACTAGAGATAAGTGAACTGTATTTTCCAATAATACTGGGGATAAGTGTACTGTATTTTCCAATAATACTGGAGATAAATGTACTGTATTTTCCAATAATACTAGAGATAAGTGTACTGTATTTTCCAATAATACTGGAGATAAGTGTACTGTATTTCCAATAATACTGGAGATAAGTGTACTGTATTTCCAATAATACTGGAGATAAGTGTACTGTATTTCCCAATAATACTGGAGATAAGTGTACTGTATTTCCCAATAATACTGGAGATAAGTGTACTGTATTTTCCATTAATACTGGGGATAAGTGTACTGTATTTTCCATTAATACTGGAGATAAGTGTACTGTATTTCCAATAATACTAGTGATAAGTGTAATGTATTTTCCAATAATACTGGAGATAGGTGTACTGTATTTTCCAATAATACTATAGAGATAGGTGTACTGTATTTTCCAATAATACTAGAGATAAGTGTACTGTATTTTCCAATAATACTGTATTTTCCAATAGTACTGGAGATAAGTGAACTGTATTTTCCAATAATACTAGAGATAAGTGTACAGTATTTTCCAATAATACTAGAGATAAGTGTACTGTATTTTCCAATAATACTAGAGATAAGTGTACTGTATTTTCCAATAATACTGGAGATAAATGTACTGTATTTTTAAATAATACTTGAGATAAGTGTACTGTATTTCCAATAATACTGGAGATAAGTGTACTGTATTTCCCAATAATACTGGAGATAAGTGTACTGTATTTTCCATTAATACTGCAGGGATAAGTGTACTGTATTTTCCATTAATATTGGAGATAAGTGTACTGTATTTTCCAATAATACTAGAGATAAGTGTACTGTATTTTCCAATAATATTGGAGATATAAAGTGAATTGTATTTTCCAATGTGGAAAGCATATTTGAAGTCTATTATTTTGCTTTCCCAATTATATATTAGCAATAAGTGCTACTACTAAAATGACAACGAACCACTCTGACTACTGATAAAAAGAGTTTTGATGTCTGTATAGACTTATCAGGTGGCCTTTTTAATGATCCAGATATGGCAATATCTGGTCTCTGAAAACCACAAATATTGACTTATCCGCGGGCGCGGAACGTTTTGAGTGAACTTTGCTAGTAGGCAGAACATGTGGTTCGCCGGTGCTAAATTATCACAGATAACTAACGCGCATTTAGGAGACGCGCAAAAGTTGAAATTGTTATTACGGTTTGGGCGAGCGATTTAGTAAGAGCCTTCCTTTTGCCTCCTTCGGACAGGAAGATGGTCACACCGTGACTATCAGTTCCTCTAGTTATGTATCCGCCTAACTGATCGTTGCTTGAGGTGAAAATGCGGTCACCGTACTTAATCCTTGAATCTCTTCTCAAGTTTGAGATGAAGGATGATAGACGATCATTGACGATTTGGATCGTCTCGTTAAGGTTAGGATAACCAGGGACAGGGATAATAAGGGATATACAGATCGAATCTTTGCTTCTGTTGTTTCCAGGAGTTTGTATATGACTTGTTTGTATTTAGAAAGCAAATCATCGGCACTAGTCCTCTGCCAGAAGATGTCCTGGTGTCCTACATGTAGGAGTACAATCTCAGGTTTTAAGTTCCGCACTTTGGATAGTAGACTGCCCTTTGAAAGGATGTCGTCAACTGAGAACGCTCTGTACTTGTTTATGTCAAACTGTCCACTGAATCTATCGCTATCGAAATCATCGAAGAGGTCGTCGTATACAATTAATTAATTAATGTATATGATGTAATGTATAATATTAGGTTATGATCAGCCCAATTTGTACGTGGCACGCGTAGTGTATTGATGTGTACACGAGTATAGTTTACCTTTGCTTACAATTTCTTGAATTACAGATACAAGTTAAGTTCTACGGCAATTGAATTGAATTCCAAGTGTTTCCCGTATTTAATGCATAATTTATCAATTGAAATATTATTATCATGAAGATTGAAGTGAGCTGATTGGATCTTATATGTTATACTTAAATTTATAGTAAATGTGGAATGGAAATCTAGCGTCCGCCAAAACGAAACAACGGGCGCAATTCTTGTTATAACGAAATTATGGTAGCAACAGCCAATAAAGTTACAGCCCTCCATCCACTGCTTCGAAAGTCTTCTCTAGCACATATGAGACTTCAAGTAAAATATGATGATCACCACCCCCTTGGAACCCCATAATCTGAGTCGGCGGGTTTTATTATGACTGGTAAAATTTTTGACCGGGAAAAATATGGCGGAATTTTCCAAAACCCACCACTATATCCCAGTCATAAGATTCCCGAGTAAGGTAGCTTAAAATTAAACACATCAGAAATGTCAGTAAAACGATTTTAATTAGCTGCAGTGATGCATTACAACATTCATACGGCATTTGAGAATTATTTTGTATTGTGAAGCAATAAAATTATCCATTCATAATCATCCACTATTTAGAATTTGTAAAGTCCCAGCTAAGTTGCTTTTCTATAATGTTTGTCACTATTATAATACTGAGCGTCTATCGAAGGGGGAGCAATGTAAAATCTGATCAACGTGAATTGTTGACTACCAGCGAAGAACGTTTCTCAACAAACTGATCACAAAAACAACAAAACTGATTTGAACTTTGTATCCATCAGCTGTATCATCTTCTGCATCTTCTTCTTTTACGGCGGCATCATCGCCTGCACCATCGACTACTCCTGCACCATCGTCTGCACCATCGACTACTTCTGCACCATCGCCTGCACCATCGACTACTCCTGCACCATCGCCTGCACCATCGACTACTCCTGCACCATCGCCTGCACCATCGACTACTCCTGCACCATCGCCTGCACCATCGACTACTCCTGCACCATCGCCTGCACCATCGACTACTCCTGCACCATCATCTGTTGTTGAAGAAGTCGATGCAGAAGAAGTCGATGCAGAAGAAGTCGATGTAGAAGGAGTCGAATCGGCGGCACTATCGACTACTCCTGCACCATCGCCTGCACCATCGACTACTCCTGCACCATCGCCTGCACCATCGACTACTCCTGCACCATCGCCTGCACCATCGACTACTTCTGCACCATCGCCTGCACCATCGACTACTCCTGCACCATCGCCTGCACCATCGACTACTCCTGCACCATCGCCTGCACCATCGACTACTCCTGCACCATCGCCTGCACCATCGACTACTCCTGCACCATCGCCTGCACCATCGACTACTCCTGCACCATCGCCTGCACCATCGACTACTCCTGCACCATCGCCTGCACCATCGACTACTCCTGCACCATCGCCTGCACCATCGACTACTCCTGCACCATCGCCTGCACCATCGACTACTCCTGCACCATCGCCTGCACCATCGACTACTCCTGCACCATCGCCTGCACCATCGACTACTCCTGCACCATCGCCTGCACCATCGACTACTCCTGCACCATCGCCTGCACCATCGACTACTCCTGCACCATCGCCTGCACCATCGACTACTCCTGCACCATCGCCTGCACCATCGACTACTCCTGCACCATCGCCTGCACCATCGACTACTCCTGCACCATCGCCTGCACCATCGACTACTCCTGCACCATCGCCTGCACCATCGACTACTCCTGCACCATCGCCTGCACCATCGACTACTCCTGCACCATCGCCTGCACCATCGACTACTCCTGCACCATCGCCTGCACCATCGACTACTCCTGCACCATCGCCTGCACCATCGACTACTTCTGCACCATCGCCTGCACCATCGACTACTCCTGCACCATCGCCTGCACCATCGACTACTCCTGCACCATCGCCTGCACCATCGACTACTCCTGCACCATCGCCTGCACCATCGACTACTCCTGCACCATCGCCTGCACCATCGACTACTCCTGCACCATCGCCTGCACCATCGACTACTCCTGCACCATCGCCTGCACCATCGACTACTCCTGCACCATCGCCTGCACCATCGCCTGCACCATCGACTACTCCTGCACCATCGCCTGCACCATCGACTACTCCTGCACCATCGCCTGCACCATCCTGAGCCCTCAGCAGGGCTACAAGAAGTGTGAGAAGGAGTATTGACCACAGCTTCATGACTGACCTACAATGTTGATCCGTTAGATTGAATTATAAAAAGATATAATTTAAATAGCGCCACGTTAATAGGATGACTGCAGATAACTGTGAAAGCAACAAGAATTGCGCCGGTTAGCGGACGCTAGATTTCCATAGCCTGTGCGGTGATATGCAGTTAAAAGGACATCTGTCCGATAGCGACTCTTGTCCGACTCATGTTACCAGAATATATAGAAAAAACTTGTCCGAAATTTCTGAGTTTGAAATTACATTTAAATATTTCAAATATTTCAAATATAAAAATGAATAAAATATTATATTTTCGTGATAATTAATAATAAGTGATTATGCTCATATTCAATATGCTATCGGTTACTGATTATTAAAAGAAATGTCGGTAGAGACTATCAAAAGTTTAAAACCATAAACGTTAAAATGAATATTCAGAAATGGGAAATAACTTAATAAGGTTGGGGACATAAAATGAGATTGAGATAGAAAATAATTTATATACCAAGTGCCGTACGTGACGTCGACTAAGTGCAACTTTGGAATTTACAAAAAAGACCCACCCCCTTCGCGGTACTACTACTAACTGTTTTTTCGGAAAATATTTAGGACACCCACCCCTTTTGCGGTACTAACTGTTGAGAAATCACGGACTAACTTTGTCTTGGTATATAAAATAAGATACCCACCCATAAATTGCTTTAAACAGTTCATTAAACATTGGGAAATGGGAAAATTATACCCATTTTTTAGGTAGAGGTTTTGTTTTAAATGTAGTCAAATAAAATGAAAAGTTTTTAAACAAGGAACCAATTTTTTTTAAACCCAAAAAAACCCATTCCCAAAATTGAAATTTGAGGTAAAATGGGTTTTTTGGGGTTGGACACAGGTTGTCAGAATTATTGGCGTGTTTGAAATTTTATGTGTATTTTATGATGAAATCAATATTTTTCGACGGGTCATAACTTTACTTCTGAATATCGAAATTACAAAATTCAAAAACTGGTCTGTAGACAATCGTTTGACCATTTTCTTAATTTCAAAATTTTGAGTTGATGTACCTCAAAACCCATAATTTAGGCCGTTATTTAAAGGGTCGATTCCATACTTGGTTAGATTTACGAAGGAGTAAGGAATTTATGTGTAATTTGATTTCGGTGAATTTTTTCTGAAATTATTCTTTAGACTAAAGTGCAAAGCTCTTCAGGCGATAGCGAAACATATTATAGAAAACTATAGATTTTATAAAAGCTCTCTTTCTCCTCTAACTGACGCAATAATATATAGTCGGGCGGACTCATCACCTTAGATGGTGAGAGGTTCTTTAATAAGACCTAATGATTAAATGAGACCCACTAAAGGTACTAAATTAACCGGACTGCTAGCGAGGAGTCGAGAGTGGGAATAAAATAAAAGCGGAATAAATTCTAAGATAACGAAAAAAACACTTTCTTAGGACTTAGAGGGTGAGAGGTTCTTTAATAAGACCTAATGATTAAATTTGACCCACTAAAGGTACTAAATTAACCGGACTGCTAGCGAGGAGTCAAAAGTGGGAATAAAATAAAAGCGGAATAAATTCTAAGATAACGAAAAACTGGTACAGAAAGCTAAAGTCCTAACACGGAGTCTAGGAAAAACCTGTGAACCAAATAAGCAGAATGGCACCCGTGCATGAAGTGTTAAAATATATACCGTTCTAGAATGCCTCCGCAAGCTTTTGCTCCTTTGTAATGCACGTGTTAAAGAGTGTAGTAAAAAGATAAAAAGAATAAAGCTATAAAAATGAACGAAGCGGTGAAAATCTTAGAGGGTGAGAGGTTCTTTAATAAGACCTAATGATTAAATGAGACCCACTAAAGGTACTAAATTAACCGGACTGCTAGCGAGGAGTCGAGAGTGGGAATAAAATAAAAGCGGAATAAATTCTAATATAACGAAAAACACCCTTTCTTAGAGGGTGAGAGGTTCTTTAATAACACCTAATCATTAAATTTGACCCACTAAAGGTACTAAATTAACCGGACTGCTAGCGAGGAGTCGAGAGTAGGAATCAAATAAAAGCGGAATAAATTCTAAGATAACGGAAAAACACCCTTTCTTAGAGGGTGAGAGGTTCTTTAATAAGACCTAATGATTAAATGAGACCCACTAAAGGTACTAAATTAACCGGACTGCTAGCGAGGAGTCGAGAGTGGGAATAAAATAAAAGCGGAATAAATTCTAATATAACGAAAAAAACACTTTCTTAGAGGGTGAGAGGTTCTTTAATAAGACCTAATAATTAAATGAGACCCACTAAAGGTACTAAATTAACCGGACTGCAAGCGAGGAGTCGAGAGTGGGAATAAAATAAAATCGGAATAAACTCTAAGATAACGAAAAACTGGTACATAAAGCTAAAGTCCTAACACGGAGTCTAGGAAAAACCTGTGAACCAAATAAGCAGAATGGCACCCGTGCATGAAGTGTTAAAATATATACCGTTCTAGAATGCCTCCGCAAGCTTTTGCTCCTTTGTAATGCACGTGTTAGTAAGTGTACAGCAGGGTGTCAGAATTATTGGCGTGTTTGAAATTTTATGTGTATTTTATGATGAAATCAATATTTTTTGACGGGTCATAACTTTACTTCTGAATATCAGAATTACAAAATTCAAAAACTGGCCTGTAGACAATCGTTTGAACTTTTTCTTAATTTCAGAATTTTATGTTGATGTACCTAAAAACCCATAATTTAGGCCGTTATTTAAAGGGTCGATTCCATACTTGGTTAGATTTACGAAGGAGTAATATAAGGGATTTATGTGTGATTTTTTTTCGGTGAATTTTTTCTGAATTTATTCTTCAGACTAAAGTGCACAGCTCTTCAGGCGATAGCGAAACATATAGAAAACTATAGATTTTATAAAAGCTCTCTTTCTCCTCTAACTGACGCAATAAAATATAGTCGGGCGGACTCATCCCGGAATTCAGGGGAAGCAGCCGAAGGCTTCAAGTCCAATAATCCAAGATTTTCTCTTTTGTCGTGATTTTCGACGAAATTTAACTTCTTTCGGACTTTGTTTTTAAACTGAATTGTAGTATGAAGGATTATCTCTCGAATGATCAAGACATCATAGGAAACTGACCCTCAGAAGTCAAGTAATGATCGTTTCTAAAAGCTTGGGTAAGCTAAAATTTTACGCAAAATTGTCTACGCGCCAATAATTATGACACCCTGCTGTAGTAAAATGATAAAAAGAATAAAGTTATAAAAATGAACGAAGCGGTGAAAATCTTAGAGGGTGAGAGGTTCTTTAATAAGACCTAATGATTAAATGAGACCCACTAAAGGTACTAAATTAACCGGACTGCTAGCGAGGAGTCGAGAGTGGGAATAAAATAAAAGCGGAATAAATTCTAATATAACGAAAAAAACACTTTCTTAGAGGGTGAGAGGTTCTTTAATAAGACCTAATGATTAAGTGAGACCCACTAAAGGTACTAAATTAACCGGACTGCTAGCGAGGAGTCGAGAGTGGGAATAAAATAAAAGCGGAATAAATTCTAATATAACGAAAAAAACACTTTCTTAGAGGGTGAGAGGTTCTTTAATAAGACCTAATAATTAAATGAGACCCACTAAAGGTACTAAATTAACCGGACTGCTAGCGAGGAGTCGAGAGTGGGAATAAAATAAAAGCGGAATAAATTCTAATATAACGAAAAAAACACTTTCTTAGAGGGTGAGAGGTTCTTTAATAAGACCTAATAATTAAATGAGACCCACTAAAGGTACTAAATTAACCGGACTGCTGCTAGCGAGGAGTCGAGAGTGGGAATAAAATAAAATCGGAATAAATTCTAAGATAACGAAAAACTGGTACATAAAGCTAAAGTCCTAACACAGAGTCTAGGAAAAACCTGTGAACCAAGTAAGCAGAATGGCACCCGTGCATGAAGTGTTAACATATATACCGTTCTAGAATGCCTCCGCAAACTTTTGCTCCTTTGTAATGCACGTGTTAGTAAGTGTAGTAAAAAGATAAAAAGAATAAAGCTATAAAAATGTACGAAGCGGTGAAAATCTTAGAGGGTGAGAGGTTCTTTAATAAGACCTAATGATTAAATGAGACCCACTTAAGGTACTAAATTAACCATACTGCTAGCGAGGAGTCGAGAGTGGGAATAAAATAAAAGCGGAATAAATTCTGAGATAACGAAAAACTGGTACAGAAAGCTAAAGTCCTAACACGGAGTCTAGGAAAAACCTGTGAACCAAATAAAGAAATAAGCAGAATGGCACCCGTGCATGAAGTGTTAAAATATATACCGTTCTAGAATGCCTCCGCAAACTTTTGCTCCTTAATTGTAATTATAATGCAAGTGTTAGTAAGTGTAGTAAAAAGATAAAAAGAATAAAGCTATAAAAATGAACGAAGCGGTGAAAATCTTAGAGGGTGAGAGGTTCTTTAATAAGACCTAATGATTAAATGAGACCCACTAAAGGTACTAATTTAACCGGACTGCTAGCGAAGAGTCGAGAGTGGGAATAAAATAAAAGCGGAATAAATTCTAAGATAACGAAAAACTAGTACAGAAAGCTTAAGTCCTAACACGGAGTCTAAGAAAAACCTGTTAACCAAATAAGCAGAATGCGCGGGGCCAGGAAGAGTTTTAGCAGAGTTTTAGCGCGTCTTAGAATTCAATAATGCACGCGCTAATTCTGCACGTGTGAAATTAAAATGTATGTTCCATGCCAACGTTTAATGTCATTGGATTTGTTTACCTAATTTGCTCGTGGGCGGTCGTACATTGTACATGCAAAGAGAATTTTCTGAATTATAAGTAAGATGGCACATGCCACCCAGCACCTCAACTACTGGCAGAGATTAAAGGCCCTTATAGATCTGATGTCATTGCAAAGAAGAAGAGAACGGTATATTTATATTACAGTTCGTTTACCCAACGTAACAAATTACGATCGTGGGAAGCAAAAGTTGCAACTATTGTTTTTGCATACACGTGGCAGCGA